GTATAGGTTGAGCTTTAACTCCTCTGTTCCCACAGCTAATCAGTTGTTAAATCTACCTCCGTGCTGTCTCTCCTCTCCTTTCCATTACCTGGAAATGCTGTTCTCTACTATTCCTCCTACTTGTCCAGGAACATGGTAGAATTCACTTCCTCTCCTTCCTGAAGTTGATCATGGCCGGCCATGTGACTTGCTTTGGCCAATAAAATGTGGGCAGGGTTGCCATATGCTGCTTCTGCAGGAAGCATTTTATTGCAGACACTACAGTCCTTTCTTCTTCCTGACACTGGAACCAACATTCCAGAAGGTGGAGGCTCTGTTGACCTGATTCCCAGAATAAGGACTCGAAGTCTATGTGAGCAAGAAATAAACATCTGTTAAACTAATTCACGGGTGGTTACTGCATCAGATCTCGCCCATCCTGACTAACATACCTGGGCTACTGTTGGAGTGCAGGTTCTCAGCGCTTGTCATCTGAACTCTAACACATGCTACTCAAAGTGTGGTCTACACACAAATGTCAATCCACAAAACATCACCAGTCTGCAATGAGACAGGTATAGAGATTGAGAATAAACATTTAGAAAATCTTATAACAACTTAACTAATTTTTATCTGTTGAATCTATTAATAAAATATTTGGGCTTATGTTTCCCCCAAATATTAGCATTGTGTCTTGCCCATGGGATGCTACAAAAATGCTTGTCATTAATTTGGATCAAAGCTTCATGAGTAAGAAGAATTACGGTAAGATTTCAAGCAATAGCAAGCAGATCTGGGGGATATTTAGGGTGTAAGACCCTTCCTTGCTCAGGGTGAAATCATTTAAAAGTTCCAAGTCTACTCTTTGTGCCAGCACAGAGTTTAGCTTTAACAAGCAGAAAACCTTTCTGAGCTCTTTCTCATTTAATATTAAATATTGCTTTAGGTTTCCCTACATAAGAGCATGGACATTAATGTATTTATTCTTTGTAATAAAACTTTGTAAGTATATTGCTTATGAATATGGTTTTCCAGATTACCTACAGACAGCTTGACAATTTGATTCATTTGTTCAAGAGTATAAGATAATAATACAATTAACCCCTAAATCACATCCTAACTCCCTCCAGCACTAAATAGAGTTATGCTTTTGTTTCCAAAGTCTCTTTGACACACATTAATATATTTCTGCACACCATACAGGAAAGAGGAAGCATGGTATTCTGGAGAGCACAGTGGGCTAGGTGACAGAACTGCTTCTAGTCCTCATTACCTACTCCCTCGCTACTACACGAAGCCACTGCTTAACCACCTGGTACCCTAATTTCCCCATCTATTAAGGGGTGAAAATAAGTTAATAAGAACAAATAGCATCAGCTCTTTTGTGAAAATCAAAATAGAGCGAAGCACTTGGTAGTGAATAAAGTGCTACAGAACTGTAATTTAGCATTTATATAGAATACTGCCTTAGAATGCTCTCCAGTTGTCTCGTATACATAGATTTTCTCCACACTACCTAGACAGTAAGTCCTTGAGAGGCGCATTGCGTAATATTTCTTTGGGTCCTATTCAAAGTTCAGTCCTCTGGGACAAATAATACACATACAACAATTGTTTGAAAAGTATTTAATATGCCAAAAATTGAACCCCTTCATGGTTAAGTAAACTGTATAAACTTCACAGACCACATGACAGGTATGCCTCACTCACCCTGACATAGTTTTGGATTTTGGCTGAGAGTTGTCATTGGCTACCTGAGTCTCTTGAGGGCAGAGGTCACATCCCAGTAATCTTTGTATCCCCAGCACTTACCAGTCATCTAAGCACACAGAAGCAGCCCAATTAATATAAAGATAAATAAATGAAGTGAACTTTAATTACAAACTTCCTAATATTACCTCCACTCAATACCCTGAAACCTAAAAAGCCAATCTTGATTTTGGTTAAAATGGTTTGGGGGAAGTTTTCCAGAATCTGGAAAATGCACCATTTTTAAAGCACATCCATGCAATAAGTCATGTGATTTTCCCAACCTCTTTCCTTACTGAGCACAAGCAGTTCTTATTCAGAGATCTTTAGAGGCTTAGGCTGCGGGAGATGGGGTGGGAAGGAACAGAACAGCTATTGGTCTGGGGAAGGGGAAATTGTACTGTTCATTGTTCAGAGGCTATGACATTATTCTGCACATGTAAACAGTCAAGGTGAAAACGCAGCAAATAGATAAAGAGCTTCTGTATGGAATATAAACTTTGGCAGGAGCCACTGTGCTGTGGTAGCAAAAGGCCTCCTGCTGGGGCTGCAATGGAAAAAATGACCTCAGAGCGGAGTTCAGAGCAGAAAGGCTCAGAAAAAGAAGATGAAATACCATGCAGTTTGGGTGAAGTCCTTTGGTCCTGGGCATATTAAAGTATAAAGCTGTTTCGGTTTAAAAAATACAGATTACACGAATTGGTTGGAGTTTACTATTTTTTCCTAATTATAGCTTAGAATTACGGAGTGCCACTCACTGCCCTCGTTTCTCACAAGAGATCCATAGTGTTTAGGCCGGGAGGGAAAACTACACTAATCTGGACTCACTGGAGCCACATCACCCAATGTTCCACTGAGCGGTCTCAGTAGAGGGTGCCCTGACCAGGCAAGGACAGAGAAGCTGAGGTACCCCCTTTCCCCACTTCCTGAACCCACCTGGAGAGGGCTGCCCTCCTATGGAACAGTGCATGTGTATTCCAGCAGCAATTTGCGTCTTTCACCAGTGGTAAGCAGCCAGTTCAGCAAGTGTTTCAGGACGGGAGTCTCTGGCTATGTAACCTGAGCCTGAAATTTCTTTAATAAATTTGACATTTGCAAGGAAGAGAAATGAAATGAATCATTTCATATGGATATGAACAAAACCATAATCTAGAAAAAATACCCACGCCACCCACCCCTGCCCCAAACAACCTTTATTTTTAGACAGAGCTGCATTTTGAGAAAGCGTGAATCAAGTCACAAACTCAATGACAATTGAGTGTAATTTTAGAGGCACGCCAGAAAGAAAAAGGGGGTGTAAGCACATAAAACTCATTTGTATTTTTATTTATGCTATTTCCCACAGGCTGAAAATAAACTTTTAAGAGCACCATTTCTCAAGCTGATCAGCTCCTAGAGTCTGAAAACTTTGTGCTTATTTAGCAGTGCCCTCTGGTGTCCAAATGGATTTTACTTTTGCCTTGAGGTAAAAAATAAGCCACTATAGAATCCAACAAGTCTACCAGCAGCATTCATCCAGTCATCAAATATTTATTAAGAGCTTAGTAGCTATGCCAGTTACTGTGGAAGGTGGTGGGATACACAGGTGTTTAAAAGAAGACATGAATGTAAATGCAATTACAAAATTCCTTGATCATACACAAAAAGTCGCTTTACCTAGTTGTCCACTAAAATGAGACAGATACAGCTGGGTTGTCTCCTTTCCAAACTGTTCTGGACCTTTATTCACATTAGCGGGTATCGGGCTGGCTGTGGACAGAACAACTTTGGTCAAGTACACTGGGAACATTCTGAAACAGGGTAAACATTCCCGGACATCCAGTTTTAACAATTTCTGTGAAAAAGCTTTCACGGTCAACCTGAAGGACACTTCTGTCTTGTAGTATTCCGGGGAACCACTGGGCATCAGACAGGACACACAAATCTAACATTAAGCTTTACATTTCTTTCTGAAAATGCACCATTTTCCTAGCACTATGATGAAAAGCCTCAAAAGGAATGAAGTGGGCCCTCGCCAGCTTGGCTCAGTGGATAAAGCATCAGCCTGCGGACTGAAGGGTCCCAGGTTCGATTCCGGCCAAGGGCACATGCCTGGGTTGCGGGCTTGATCCCCAGTGGGGGGCAAGCAGGAGGCAGCTGATCAATGATTCTCTCTCATCATTGATGTTTCTATCTCTCTCTCCTTCTCCTTTTCTCTCTGAAATCAATAAAGAAATATATTTTTTTTTAAAAAAGTAATGAAGTGTGAGAAACCCTAAGAATTAATCACTACTGTTTGAGAATTCTTAGATCTAAAAATTGACAACTAGAGCTTCAGAAACACACATTGTTCTGAACTGGTACATCTTCAGACTTTCTGGAGGAGCAGGGGGAATCTAAAAGAGTTGCCAAGACCTTCCACCGAGAGATTAACCAAAGAACATATATGCATATATGTATAACCCAGTGGTTCCCAAACTTATTTGGCCTACCGCCCCCTTTCCAGAAAAAATATTACTCAGCCCCTGGAAATTAATTTTTTTAAATTTTAATAGCAGTTACTCATCGCCCCCAAATGTACCTGTGGCCATCACCGCCCCCCTGGATCACTGCAGCGCCTACCAGGGGGAGGTAGCACCCACTTTGGGAATCACTGGTATAACCCATGGACACAGACAACAGTGTGGGGAAGGCCTGGGGCTTCTTGAGAGGGTAAAGTCGGGGGGAAATGGGAGACATCTGCAATACTGTCAATAAAAATTTAAAAAAACACACATGAAATTCAAATGTCATCAAAGAGGAACTATGACAGAGCAGGAATGATGCTTTTATATCGTTTTGTAATATTCCTACTTTTGCCATTTTCCATTCTTGTTATTTTTGGTTTTCTAGAGTAATCAGCCATGACTTGATTCTAACCAACCAACTACGGCAAAGGTGAGCGGATTATGTCATTTAAGATGAAGAGGTCTGTCTTGCTGAAAATCTCCTTGCTGGCATTGAGGAACCAACCAGTTGTGCAGGCAAGGCCCATGTGGCAGAAATGAGCAGCCTCTTGCCAACAGCCCACTAGGAACTGAGACCCTCAGTCCAACAGCCAGCAGGGAACTAAAAGCTGCTACTAACGAGCAGGGAACAGACTCTTCCCCCTCCAAGCCCCAGATGAGACTGCAGCCCTGCCAACACCTTGACTGCACCCTTATAAAGGACCCAACTCTGAGATCTTAAGTGGGTGGCATTTTAAGTTTGTTATATTGTTATGCAATGATAGATAACTAATATAAATCTCAAGATACTTTTTAGAAACATTTTTATTATAAAAGTAATACAAATAAAGAAATACTGAAGACCAACTCATCTTTTTACTGCCCTGCCATTCTATTATAACCACAGCTAGTAATTTATTTTGTCATCTTTTTACTATATGCTGGGTGTGTTATTTATAGCCATGATCATACCCATTCATACACTTTTATATCTTCATCCATGCTCATTTGTTTACCTATTGTCTATTGTTATTTTTGTGCTACAAACTACAGAGTTGAGAAACTGTGACAGAGACTACATGGCCTGCAAAGCCTAAATCATTTACTTCCTGGCTCTTTACCGGAAAAGTTTATTAACCACTGCCCTAAACTTTTAAGTGGTTTATAATTTGGGCAATTACAAGTAATGCAATTTAGAAAATCTTTGTGCATATAATTTTTATACTTTAGGCAACTTGTTTGGAATATATTATAACAAAAGTGGAATAAATGGGTCTACTTCATAAAGATGTTTTTAAGGTGGACCCTGTCCCCCACTATTTCTCTTGTAACAGTCTACTATGACATAGGGTTGTGGTAATAAGAAGGGAAAGGAAGGCTCAGTACTCTTGTGGGTAGCACTTCTCTGGTCCTTATTAATCTAGACATGCAAGGTCACACTCTGGATGAGCTTATTTATAGTTCTTATTTAAAGTAAACCAAAGAGGAATGTAACAGTAATCACAACATTAAAAACAACTACAGAAATGTTTTACTTTCTCTTAGGATTAAAAAGCAGACTAAAGTAAACTCTCCAGGTATCAAGGTGTATATGAAAGGTATTCCAAGCTAGGTAGTGCCCAAAGGCACTGAGAGGGCTGAGTTAGGGAAAGGGTGGCCAGTCTCGACGATGAGCTGGCAGTAACAGCAGTGAACGATGAGGCAGCTATGAGTGGAGGATAACACTCTTACAACACCCTAGGCATAAACTTGTATACAACTATAATTAAACTGTCTCAGATAAGAAAGTTTCAGAGCAACTACCCCATATTTTTGAACAATAACAAAAAATTCTCTATCTGGGAAAGTTTTCTACTTTAGAAAAATACTTATGGAATGGGACCAGCTAAGTCAACCCTGACTGTCTCTGAGATAAAAGAGTAAGCAGGTTGAGGGGTCTCAAGTCCAATCTTGTATGAATAAAGTAAGCACCGGGAAGTATAGGTGTCATCTTCTAAGGGAAATATTCTGCAACATAAAAAACAAAGATCAGGATGGACCTTTGCCCCCAATAACGTAATTTAAAAGCAAAACTAGAAAGATATTTAATATAATAATCCTAATTATGCCAACAAGTATGTGAAGACATCGCAGCTAACACATTTATTTTATTAAACTATTCCTGTCAAAATGTCTACCAATTTAACATATCATAAAGAAGTGTTCTTTTGGTTAAAGCTATCATTAGCCTTTACTTTCCACCTCAGTTACTTGTCAAATAATAAAATGCACTATAACTTCATGAAGTACTCTGGGAAACCATTAAATTCTCTATAGAAAAAGGAAATCATTCTTACGAAAACCAAGAACATGTCACTATGAACAAAATATAGCAGGTATGAAAATAGAGCCATTATTTTTCATGAATTTTCATACTGCAGAGAAAGAGGTAGTTCTGTGAAAGGCTTGATTCACAATTAAAATTATGTCATAATTTTTCTTGTTTCACTGTTTACCGTTAGTTGCCTCAAAACTGACCTGAGGGTCTGGCAGCATAAATCCATCAGTAAGTTTATAATAGACTATTGTGGAATCGGACTCCACTATGGCCAAAGTAAAAGACATCGGCAAATCTGGATCACCTTGCAATTTTCGAGATGCCTTCAAGATCTCCCTTATCCTGAAAAGCAAGCCACAATGCATTTAGGATTCACAGTCACTCATTAATAAGATCAAATACTGTAAAATTTTGGGCAAGAGGCAGGCAATCATCACATTATATCTATAATGCTGACTTGGGAAATGTCTGAAGGCTCAAATAAAAACATTTAAAGTTGTCTTCTCACACAGAAAATCCTGCAGGGAAGGGCTATCCAGACTTTCAACCCTTCTCTTTTTCACTCGCCCATCTCTCCTGATCATCAGACCTGAAAGTCAAACTATATTTAGGAACCTACCGAACAGGACTCCAATAGTGAGTGTTTAGTGCATCTCAACTGACTAAGGATCATGAGTGTTCATCATCCAATTTTCCTCTTAAGAGTGAAATAATTTTGTATTGAGGCTTGTTTTTTTTAAAAAAAAACAGACTATAATAAATATTTCCCTCGTTGTGTTCATAATTACTATTTTTAAATGGCTAAGTAATATTTTATTGACTCATAATTTGCCCAATCATTCCCTTATTGCTATAAAGTTCTTCCAGGCTTTGTGGGGTGAAGGTGCTAATAAAAATGAGCTGTGAAGATCATCTTTCTGAAGGTAGTTGTTTCTTTTTAAATATTTGTTGGGTCTTTCCAAGTATGTGAATTATTAGATCTGAATATAGATATTTTTATGGTTCTCAATATGTGTTCTGATACTTCATAAAAGCCAAGAGAAAAATAGAGAGAGAAATAAAACTTTTGGGGGTAACATTATATATCAAGCAATCAATGTTATAACTTATTTCAGTTTGCTTACTGTGGAAAATAATTTATCTGATAATAAATCTGATATTTAGGTATTCAAAGCACTATTACCTTTTGTTTATCACCAACTGAAAATCCTTATTATCTACTCAAAAAAGCCCATGTTCAACAATTCAGTAAATGTAACCTCCAAAGGTGCTTCTTTAAAAGGCAAATAAAAAGTGATCAGTTGTTTTTTCACTAAGCTAACCAAGTCTCCAGAGATTGGAAAAAGATTTACTAGCATATTAACATGCTAAACACTGTATTGTATTTAGTGAAAGTGTAATTTGTCCCCTTAAGTTCTACTTCCCATCTGTAAGTAAAAATTCTTATGGTCACTCTTCCCCCATCCTATTAGCTATTGAAACTATAAAAAAAATCTTAGAAGAAAAGTCTCTGCTTTGAAATAGTCTTACTATAATAATTATAATGCTTTTTTAAAAAATCTGTAGTAAAGACTGGAGATTTTAAGTGATTTAAAATAGCAGTAAACTTCTGGAAAAGGTGAAGTTCTAACTGGTTTGTTAGAACATCGGTCACAAAAGGCTGCTTACCTGCTACCTATCATTTAAGTTTACAAAGGCATGAAGTGAGATGAGAGGATGAGTTTCTAAGTTTGTTTCGTCATATTCAAACCTTTTCTAAAATGGCCCTGAAAGAGGTAAATCAGCAATATAGTAACACTCCAGTTGTCAAGCATAACTCACTAGATAAATAAAATATGTCTACCTGGCAAAATTTTAATTCCTTTCCACGAGTCAACAAAGCAAAGCATCATCTTCTCTCGAGTCTTTCCTGTCACCTTTCCCCAACCTCTAGGCAAAGTTACATGTCTTATCCTACAGAGGCACCCTGTGTAGCCCTACCTTACTGTAATCACGACTTTGTATTTATACATCTCAGTGCCTGTTTCTCACTGAGCTGTACTCATTTTGAAGGTCAAAGCTTTTTAAGAAATGGTGCTGTAACATGAAGACAATATACCTGTACATCTACACATAGGACTATTGAGGTGGCATACATGAAAAGGCGTTGCAAACTGTCAAGTAGTCAGCAAGTACAAGTATTACTATATGGTACCTATACCAGCTTTGCTACCTTGAAAATTGGGACATAATGTTTTTTATCCACACCCTTCTTAAAAAATAATTTCTACCTATGTTAAATTACATGAACATCAATTAGATTCCACTTCATATCAGAATTTTTCTTTAGAGATACTCAGATGAAGCAACCATAGATATTAACTAGCAACCTCAACACTTAGCACTGATGGAAAATGACAGTCTTAAGACACTGCAGTACACACAAGTTAAAAATAAGTTTCTTTAAACATCCCTAACTGGCAGAGTATGATGAGGATGGGACACAGATGGAAGGGAAAAAACCTATTAAGAAAACTGTTACATATCTTCCGTTTCTCAAGATATGATACTTAAATCAGAATGTATGTGTATGTGTTTTGTAAGGTAAACTGTGTGGAAATTCTAGCCCATATATTGACATTTAGAATAGAAATTTCCATCTCATTCATATTTGTTTTCATAGTTCTTTGATTATAAACAGCAAAACATTTTCTGACTTACTCAGAACACCCACATGGGAAACCCTAACATCTGAAAATTAGCTCAGAGTTGTAAAGCCTGGTTTGTCTTCAGAGCTGAGGGGAATCACTGTTAAAAATGAAGTGGAAGTTCCCATCTCTGAGCTGTTTATCCTGTTTGGTTGTATGAGGAGGAAGAAGGAAATTACAGTTTGAAATCATAATTTAGAAACCATAGAATGAAGTTTCCTCTTAGGCACATTTTTTAAAAGCTCAGTTCTTTAAAAAGTATTGCAAAGATGTTTCACCACACAAATCTAAAATAATAATTTGGATAACAAAATTGCTTATAGTTCATATTTTATATAAATCCACATATGAAAAACATAACTTATATAATGAGAATTTCATATTTTTGAGTTAATTATATCTTGAGGGAAAACCCCACCTGAAGAAATAGAAAAGTCAATAATAATTATAATTGTTGTTCAACAGTAACAGAATTTGATGCTTGCAACAGTTATGATGTTCTCATAACTGTTGCAAACAATAACAGTTATGATGTTCTCATAACTGTTCAGAGGGGAGCTCAGCATTCTGTAAACAGAGTGATCCCAAAGTTTACTAAAGTTAACGTGAAAACAAGTCTGAGGCAAACAGACAGGCAACACCATTTGGCTACTGCCCTTCCTCCAAACTAAAGTAAATAAATGCCTTCCAGAAATCTTAGCATTCATCTTTCTGTAAGATCCTCCAATAGAGACTAAGTAAGCTCCAGAGATTTACACAGAGGATAGAAAATTGAGGGCAACATTACTTATTTTAACTTCATATGTTGAAAAAGAATGCATCATGGGTTAAAATTATTAATTTCAACCCACAGAAAGCGATATCTTCTTCTGTCCTCTTCAATGTGACCAAACTGGCACATGTTGTAGCCTCATCAATTAAAGGCATTAACTCCTTAATCTGTCTCATTATGATATTTTAGAACGACACTCCACAATCCAACTCTAGAATACAATGCAAATTTAAATTAGTGCCCAAGGTGCCCAAGAAGCTGTATTCATCCACAGGCTCAATCCTGAAGAAAAGTTCAAGAATAACAGACCACCTCCTTGGGAATCATGCCAAGGACTGCCTGGTAAAAAAGCAAGGTGGCTAAAATCCCAAGGTGGCAGGGTTACTGAACAATTAAGTGCCTGTGTGACCATCCACCCCAGTGGGGGGCCATTCTGTTAATATAAACTGCAGGTTTGTGTGTGTGTGTGTGTGTGTGTGTGTGTGTGTGTGTGTGTGTGTGTGTGTGGAGGGTAAGAGAAAAAATGCTGTGACTGTTAAAAGAAGCTGCCAGAATTGGGGTTCACCAGTAACAGATTTCCAACAGAGGTAATATGAGGACACACATCAGATACGCAGGGAAGTCAAATGACAGAAATCATTTTACCAGCTATTAAACTTTAGGCCTCACATAAAGTAATGGTCATTAAATGAATTTGTAATAAAGAACATACTTTTGGAGAGTGGAAATATTTTTCAATTACATGGAAATAATAGAGTATCCTTCAAGAATATTGTAGCATTGTCCTGGGGGGTGGGAGTGGCTGGGGAGAGGTCAATGGGGGAAAAAGGAGACATATGCAATACTTTAAACATATGTGTGTGTGGACAGGCTCCTGCCGGGAGACCAAGATGGCGGCATAGGTAAACACCGGAGACTGCTGCCGCAAACAACCACTTCAAAAATACAACTAAAAGACGGAACGGACATCACCATATTAGCATTTCAGGATTAAATCTCATAATTAAGAACATCTTTTAAAAAGTTCTAAATATAGTTAATACTATATTGCATAATTGAAAGTTGCTAAGTGAGTACTGAAAGTTCTTATCACAAAAAACCTTTTTTTTTTGTAATTATGTAAGGTGATGATGTCAACTAGGCTTATTGTGTTGATCATTTTGCAATGTATACAAATAATGACTCACTACTTTACACCAGCAACTAACATGTTATATGTCAATTAAATTTTTTTAAATGTTCTAAAGAAGAAACTCAGTTCTAGTAACCCTTCACTCCACCATTAATAAGTCCTTTTCCCCGACACTAAGGAAAAAGAAGGGATTAAAGGTAGGGGGGTGGACATGATGAAAAAGAGTTTCACTAAAAGGTTAGGAGGCACTGTGATTGTTCTCTATCCTGAGATGCGTTTATAGTTACAGTATAAAGTGTGGAAAGTGGTGCCAAATCTGAAAGCAAATGGATTTTGCAGACATTCTAATTTTTAGAAACTCTTGGAAGGTTACTTAAGCATATTCTATGTTCTTTAAGATTTTATTTAGCAAATCTCCACTGCAGGAACTTAGTAGTCTAAGGGAGCTCATTCAGTCATTCAACAAACATTGATTCAATACCAAGTGCCAGATACCAGGCTATGCACTGAGGAAAAAGCAATGAGCAGAACAAAATTCCTGCTTTCACGGAGGTTATTTTTAAAAGGGAAAGGAAAACAGTAAACAAAGAAAACCAAATATATATCAAGTAGCAATAAATGTGGTAAGTGTTATAAAGGAGGGCCACTTAGTTGCATTAGTATGGCCAAGAGTCCTGATCAAACCAAATGACAAAAGTTCTTAGACTTTTAGCCTAATAGCTGCTGAATTAGCAGATGACCAATTCGGTATATGGCATATTGGAGCCTTTTTCTAAATTTCTAGACTAATATTCAAATAGGAAGATGCCAAGAAACAGTACATTTGGGAAAGTTTTCTCTCGGATAAAATGGCTGAGGGTACCCATTTATCACCATAAATCAAGAGTAATGCCACTAATTTGTGGGGTTGGAGGATAAAGTGGTCACTGGAGAGGCTCCACCCTTGCATAAGCTATCCATTATCCTTTGCTGCCACTAGGGTGAAAGAGCCCTTTATAATCCAGTCAGTTTTAACAGGATGAATGATTCATTGATATTACTAAGCAGAGAGAGAGAGAGAGAGAGAGAGAGAGATTGATTTACAGATCATTTCAAAAACAATATATTAACTGTCTCTGGATTTTGTAATTTACAAAACACTTCACTTGGCGCTTTTTTTTTAATTTTTATTGATTTCAGAGAGGAAGGGAGAGGGAGAGAGAGAGAGAAACATCAATGATGAGAGAGAATCACTGATTGGCTGCCTCCTGCACCCCCCCTATTAGGAATCGAGCCTGCAACCCAGGCATGTGCCCTTGACCGGAATCAAACCCGGGACCCTTCAGTCTGCAGGCCAATGCTCTATCCACTGTTACAAACTGGCTAGGGCTTCATTCGGCTTTTTAAAAATTAACTTATGTACAAACATAGATAAGCTTAAAATACAGCTACTGTGGTTTTAGTTTTCAGCATCTCATATTTTACCAAAGAAACTGAATTGGCATTGAAATTGTGAGACAATATAGATTCTATCAGGGGAAAAGTAGTGAAAAACAAAAACATTTTTTTCATTATTTGATATAAGTCATTGTGTAAGTTACTTAAGATATTTCCCATTTATAACTATCCACAATATTAATATTATTACAGAAACCTGAAATTCTATTATCCTAACTTTGTTGTAATACACTTCTCAACAAATATTAGTGGCAAAGTGGTCCAGAAGAAGTTCATCAAGTCCTCTGATATTAATGTGGCTTCATTTGCTATCTTAGCACTGAAAAAAGCCCTGGCTTTCCTTAGGATTCCTCTGGTTACCTCATCTTTAAACAGATCTTCTTTAGCAGATCTCTTTGACCTCTATGAAATTATGAATATGATTTTTATACCATTGCTGGGTCTGGGGAAATCAGAGTATTCATAACCTCTACAGTCATTTACCAAAAGTGCTACATGATTCTCACATTCACTTTAGTAAGAAACAATCTATAGAGTACTTTCCATATTCATATATAATCCAAATATATAACCTAATATAGTATTTTAAAATGTAAGCTAAAAATTATTTTACATTAGCATTCAGTAGTATTTTTATTTAAAAAAATATATTTTATTGATTTCAGAGAGGAAGGAAGAGGGAAAGATAGAAACATCAATGATGAGAGCGAATCATCAATGCAAATATATATATGTTATTCTGTCTCTCAATAGTCAAAATAGCTACTGAAGTGGTTTTAAAGGATGCAGTGAGATTATGTACTGTGATGACTGGGGAACTATTTTATGACTAAGTTGTAGTTAACTATGTAAATGATAGAGTTTAGTCCAGCTTTACAAAGTTGAGACTTTAATAAAGGGGACAGCTTTTGTGCCTTATATGCTATATGCCCTGTGTAAATAACATGGAATTACACCTCCAGCAAAATGCCAACTCCTCTGGCTTTCAGGCTTTGTATATCACCCAGATTCCCTAGTCATAAAAATGCTATTTAAAGTTTTTGAGAAATAAAGAACATTAAAAAATTCCCACTATACTCAGACAGCTAAGCAGGATAGTCTAGGATAGCAATTTACAACTAGTGTGCTCAGACTAGTTGTGCAGTGTATAACAATGAAGTATCAAAGTTGGCATGTTATTTTTAATATTCCCTGTTACATATCATCGTCATCCATTCACATTCCACCATGCTTTATTAAATTGAGATGAAATTGACATACAACACTGTGTAAGTTTAAAGTGTACGATGTGATGAACTAACCTCTTAAACAAAGAGCAAAATCACCTGCCCACCTGTTATGGCTGAGGGAAGCATTGATGGATGTAGGCACCACAGTCTGTAGCCCTTCTCCTTCTATCTCAGTACCAACCAGGCAGATGAGCTGGAGGTCCGGCAATCCCACACAGTTTACTTCATGCCAACTTTTACCTGAAAGAGCATCATTAAATGGATAATGTTTATCAAAAATCAAAGATAAAAATTCTAAACTTCTACCTAATATTCAGCTGAGCAAACGTCAGTTATAACGCTGTCTTCTCTTTACATGTTTATTTATCTTCTCTTTTACTTATTTTGTTACCCAGTAATTCCCACTATAAATGAATGAAGAAATTATAAAATGGATGACAGCAAATGCATAAACGATGGCTTATTATAATGTCAATAATTCTATATCCAAACCCAACTCCCCAACCCTCCACCATGGCCCCAATAATAAAGCAATATAAACAAAAACTTACTCTCCATGAGGTCCAGGTAAACCAAGAATGCTATATAAACTTGAGTAGCATCTCCTATATCTAATTCCATCATTTCTAAATACTGAAAATCAAAATATAATTGTTAAACAGAGAAGGAAGAATCTCTTAATATTTTATTTCACTCAAGCAACAACTATTTATTAAATATATAGAAAGCATCAAACTCAATTCTAGGTATAGTGGGAGTTATAAGGCAATGTAAGACCTGATCCTGCCTCTAAAAAACCTGCAATTATTAGGGTAAACACTTTGCAACTGTTAGGCAAATAACAATACATGACAGAAAGTGGTTAAAAACCAAGTGAGTGGAATTAAAGAACCATGACACAACAGGTCAGAGGAGCTATATACTCCGGTGAATTGGTTGGTGAATGTTTTATGATAGAGGGGAGATACAAGTTGGGCCCTGAAGGACATGCATGATTTGACTAAACTGAGAAGGTAGCGCAACAGTATAACTAATCACACAGAGGTGGGAATGAGCCACACATATTCAAGGGCCTATAAAGAAACCTATCTGCCAGGAGTAGACATTTTTTTAATAAGAGTTGTGTTGGGGCATGTAGTGGGGGCCTCTATTCTCCTGGTCTCTTATTTGCAGGTGGAAAAAGTCGAGTAGAATACCACTCCTGGCCTCTCTCTCCTTCTCACTCAAGAGCAGCGAGTTATTTAAATGCTAGATTTTAAAGAAAGGACCAAGCAAGCTGCTGCTGCTTTCAGACTTACTGGTCAGCACTGTGGGAACATTCTTCAGGGGTCTACTCCTGCAGGGGAAGCCTGAGGTTGTCCAGTTACGTCAGTGACTAGGTGGGTAAGCAAGACTAATGCAAAAGTGAGGGATTAGCAGACCTGCACGGGTGCATATCTGATATCACCTTCTCCCTTTGGCTTCATCATAGGTATACAGGTGCAGGAGAACAGGGATGTTATTAGTTCTCCTCCTCAAACCTTAAATGTGCTTGAACATAGCACTGAAAAAGTAATTGGGGACCAGGTTGCAAGGACGGGATGACCAAGCTAAAAGTTTGAATTTTACCCATACGGAAACACTGAAGACTTCTAAGCATGAGAGTATGATGAATGTGGTGTTTGAGGACAATAAATCTGATACCATGTTACTAGATGGACCTAAGTAATTTTCAAATTGAATAATAAAAAGGCAGAAGTAGAAAAATCAAACACCCAATATTATTTCTTTAAAAAAAAAATCAATTAGACCCTTAAGAGGAAAAATCGAAAGGGAAGATTTGATGGCGAAGGCTAGGGCCTATATAGCCATTAACTTCAAAGAGAAAAAAATCTGCAAGTATAAAAACTGAGTAGCACCACCAAACTAGAGGAGGTTTTTAAAACTTGTTACCAATGTTTCACTTCTTAAATTCTTACATAGTGCTTGCTTACTACATGTCAAGTACTTTCCAAATAGTAACTGATTTAATCCTATAAGTACCCTTATTACCCCCATTTTACAGATGAGAAAACCTGGTCAAGTACTTTCCAAATAGTAACTGATTTAATCCTATGAGATAAGTACCCTTATTATCCCCATTTTACAGATGAGAAAACCTAAGTGCCATGAGATTAAACAATTTGCCCCAAATCACAAAGCTGGTGACAGAACAAGGGTTCAAACTCAGGCGATGTGTCTTTGAGTTCATGCTCCTAACCACTGTGCTGCCTCTCCGTGTCACGGTGTTTCTTTTTATGGCACTGAATAACATCTCCATGTTAGTGCTTGAAGGGGAGATCTTGAAGGGGAATAAGGGGACAGAGCAGCAGGATAAAATTAAGCAAGATAAAATGAGAAGAGGTTAACGCTTCAGACTTTTATCTTCAAAAATTTTCTTTTCTTGACTGTTTTTATTTTAATGTTTTAAAAATATTTTTTTTTTATTGATTTCAGAGAGGAAGGGAGAGGGAGAGAGAGAAACATCAATGATCAGAGAATCATTGATGGGCTGCCTCTTGCAAGGCCCACACTGGGGATAGAGCCCCAAACCCAGGCATGTGCCTTGACTGGGAATGGAACCATGACCTCCTGGTTCATAGGTCAACACTCAACCACTGAGCCACAGGGGCCAGGCTCTTGACTGTTCATAGATGATTACTTATGAAATACTAGAGGCCCAGGGCACGAAGTTCGCACACAGATATAGGGTCCCTAGCGGCTGCCGGCTGGGGCCTTCCTTCCTTACACGCCGCCCCCTGGTGGTCAGCACATGTCATAGCAAGCAATTGAACTCCCCATCTGTCGAACTCCAGAGGGGACACTTTGCATCTTAGGCTTTTATATAGAGCAGCGGTTCTCAACCTGTGGGTCGGGACCCCTTTGGGGGTCGAATGACCCTTTCACAGGGGTTGCCTAAGACCATAGGAAAACACATATAATTACATATTGTTTTTGTGATTCATCACTATGCTTTAATTATGTTCAATTTGTAACAATGAAAATGCAGCCTGCATATCAGATATTTACATTACGATTCATAACAGTAGCAAAATTACAGTTATTAAGTAGCAACGAAAATAATTTTATGGTTGGGGGGTCACCACAACATGAGGAACTGTATTAAAGGGTCG